ACGGACCGGTACGGGTAACGGTTACGGGAACGGTTAAGGGTACCGGGTAACGGACGGGTACGGGTACGGGACGGGACGGGTTCGGGTACGGACGGGTACGGGTAGTGGTCGGGGCTGGAGTGGTCGGGGAGGGGGTGGTCGGGGAGGGGGTGGTCGGGGCGGGGGTGGTCGGCGCGGGTGTGGTCGGGGCCGGAGTGACGCTGTCCGGGCAGCTCAGGGGGCTCAGCGCGTACGTATCATTGGTGTTCGAGAACACGACGGCCGTTGTCACGGAGCTGCAGCTCGCGTCGTTCAGGAAGAGGCAGTAGCGAAAGGCGCTTATGTAGTTGAAGAGCTCGCACTTGGCCAAGCCCGCCTGGACGCACAGTGTGCAGCACGTGGCGTAATCTGGCACCCCCGTGAGTACGGTCGTGGGCGGGGTGGGTCCAAAACCGCCCACTGAACCCTGTGGAATTGCGAGCTGGCCATTGACCGGTGGGACTGCGCCGGTGCATCCGCTCCGGCATGGGGTCGGTTGAGCTGGCGACGGGGACTGTCCAATAGTGGGGAACCCATCGCGGCAGGCGGACGAGGGCGCTGATGTCGGGACCGGGGGTGCATTTTCTGAAAAGATAAACGAAAAGATAAACAGCAACTTTCTTACATAGAAAGTCAGAAGTTTTGGCCGTTCATCAAGCTTCTGAAATTGCCATTACAACTAGCTCGGACTTCGATATATCTATTCAACTAGCCTGCCACAGAATACAAACTCCTGTTACTCATATATGTGCACTGAATCGGTTAGCAGTGGTGCGTGCGGCAGCCAAAGACGCTCAAGATAGTTGAGCACTTTTTGGCAGCTTGTTTAATTCAGGAAAAGCCGGTAAGATGACGTAGGCAAGAACGGAAATCATTATTGAATCTGATTCACGAGGATCAAGATGGCTAGTCGACCAGGGACATTCGACTTCCAGAGCTTGGCCAGATCCTGAGCGCGGGCTTTCCCTCAAGCGCGTCGCAGGCTGAAAGTCCTCAAAATCTCTGCGCACAGCAGAAAGCCTCCTTGTGAACAAGATGCAGGATGCTCACCTGAGGCCGTCAGCGAGATGTCATCCACGAAGACGAAGGAACTGCTTTGGCAGCTAAGGAACATCTGGGCGCTCGACCCGGACGATTCGAATTGCAGAGGTCCAATCTGCTGGAAGCTCGCAGCGTCCGTGGGGTTATCATTGGCAACCCGATAGACGGTCTCAATGATCCCGGATTGCCTGAAATCGACGTTGCAGGATTGCGACGTGCTGCCCGCACTTGTGTTGGCTGGTGCAATTGCGAGCTTGAAGTATAGTACGTAGTTCGTACCTGTTCAAGAACGCGCGTCGGGGCAAAGATTCAAAAATCACCCACATGCGACATTATTGCGTCTTCAGGTGGATTCGAATACACCGAGCCCAGAGAGCCAATTGGGAAAAAGAGGATATGTGCACGGCAGTGGATTTGTGATGAAATGCCGCCTGCAGGTTGCTACCACCTCAAAGTCACGTCAGCTCATCATTTGTGGAACATTGAAGTTCTTTTTAAGGTGAATACGGCAAAGGCAGACCCTTCTAACAGCCTCAATGCATGCCTTCTCAAATCGTCCTTCAAAAGCTCCTCAGTAGCACCTCTGTTGACCTCCAGCTGTAGGGCAAAGCTGCCTTGCAAAGTCAGATTAGCTTGCAGTGACACTCAGGCTGCTGATCACCTGCTGAAGTTGCAAAGGTCTGCGACAGATAGGCTCCTCCAGACTCAACGAATGCCGCTGCGTAAGTTCCAACTGGAGTTGGGAATGAAGCACCCGGGGGAATGGGCGGATACACAATCAGGGCAGGGGCAAAATTGCCATCCCAGCCGCTAAAATCGCCGGTCTCAAAGCCTCCATTGACAAGAAGCTGCTGTCCTGCATGCCATCAGTAAAAACAAGGTTAGCAGTACTTCAGTTGAGTAGATCGAGATGCTCACGTTGTTTGGGAAGGTCCATAAGACCATGAGTGCTGGCCAGGACAAGGTAGTAATACTGCCAACTGGTATTAGCTTCGATGGTATTACAGTAGCGAAAAAGCCAGGGACTGCGCTACCCAACAGCCTTGAGCAGCCAAGAGACAACCTGTCTAAAGAAGACAGCCAAAGTGAAATGCTTACTACTATAACAAAATATCTGGAGTACGAACTTGTATGCGCAATGTTGCGCCATCTGATTGCAGGAACCCTCATTTAGAGGCAGCCAGAATCTTACACTAGTAGGTGTGCTACCAAGCTGCACATATCACTGTTTGAATGATTACCAACATGAAAGCAACTTATAGACGACCTCGAATGACCAAGCGTTTGTGTGCACTATAACACCTCTTGATTACTGAATCAATGTCAGGCAATACCCAAGGCGGACTCACAGCTAACTGTCTTGGCAGTGTTTGAGATTCCTTACGCCCAAAAAACAGCCGGCCAAAGTGCTCAAGGACGATGATGCAAACTAATGAAATCATAGACTATGGTTGAATGGCTCATCAACCAGATCTGGCTTGCTGCTGGTTAGCCAAATTACCCCATGGAAGACAAGAGCCAGGTATTCATGGGTGAAGAGAACAAAGTTGTTCTGCATTGACAAGACCACCCAGACTGAGTTGCTGCTTCAATCCGTTCTTAGTATATCATTCAGAAGCTGTTGACAAGCAGCTGAGACCAGCCAGAGTCCTTAGACAATTCACTGCTGATTTGAAGAAAAGAAACTTCTCAATCATCAGAATTGAGAGTTGAATGAAGGATACCGAAGCTGATGACCGGGGGCTGACGCGTTGTTGTGATGCAAACTAATGCAAATTATATGGTTCTTCTGTGTTTAACTTGCCTCAAAAGAACTTTCAGATCCAGACTAAAGAACCAATTCAAACATTGAACCAAATTTGAACACACTTGAAAACACTTAAAAACCTGCATCTACTCCGCATGCAAAATACAATGCCGCAGCGATTCGTCTCTGCAGTACGCAGCAAGCTAGGCAATCAATGCAACTTCCCCAACCACGATCCAACTTGAAGGAACAAATCTTTCACCTGCAACGGGCGTGCTGATGGCAGCCTGCAACAAAAGGGCCGAGAGCACCACCAAGCTGAGTCCAGACACCCGCCTCAACTTCATTATGCAGCCCGCCATCACTGCGCACCAATATTCCGTTGTTGTCCAGACGAAAGAGGCCCCGCAGTCGTGAGTCTCCTTGAAGGCTTCAGATTGACGTGTGCCAAAGTGCTTCTAAAAGACAAACAGAAGTGCGGAAGCGAAATCTTTGGTTGCAAATGGGCCCAATGCGCTGGAATGGCGCCGGAAAGCTGCAATGCGGAAGGGTCAACGTTGCAACTGCATTGCATCAGACGCTGAATCGTCACAACTTATGATAATATTAGTCGTATTGGAGAACGGGAAGTCACAAACTCGCTCTCTTTTCCGCCTCCCAGCTCACTGTCAGTCTGTGTCCTGCAGTGAATCTTCCGGAATGAACTGATTCCTCATGTCCACCTTGATCAATCAGTCGTATCAAAATCTTCTCGCAGAGGACTATTGGACCGTCTTTCGAAATCAGCCGTTTCTGTAGTTATGATTTTACACGTCCTTTTTGAAACGAGTTCGACTTCGACCAGCCGGGCGACCAGCTCAGTTCTAGCGACAATATGGCTCGGAGAACTTAGGGCCGGGTTCTGTGCAGCAGAATCCCCTGTGAATATCGCGGATCTGATTGATCACCTAAACAATCTCCTTCCTCTGTTTCTCCAAGTCCCGAAGGAGTCCCGATGTTAGTATTGTTTAACTTGATGTACCAGTACTGCCGGTGCAAAGCGTTCGTCAGAATTCTGCTGGTTATACGGGGCAGTGGTACGGCCCCTAGCCTCTGGTACGTCCTACCCAATTCGGCAACAAAAGACTGGTTTTCCAATTTGAATACGTCTCAACTTTCAAGTCTCCGAGTCCGAGTTGCGGAGAGATCTGCGGTCACATTTCCAAGACTCCCCTTTTCATGCCTTCTGCATTTCCTCAGGGATCTTTCAACTCCGTCCTATCAGGATCGATCAACTTGCATGCATGAGATCGACAGTACCGTACCCTGTACGGTCACCTCGTGAGTCGTGTCGGGCCAGGCGAATAAATTTCCGTACAAGACGGTAAAACCAAGACCAGTAAATTCTCAAGAGCTGTACGGAAAACTTGACTCGACAAAAAGGTCCTGCCGGGAAATCCTCTCAAGGTACTTGTAAAGCCGGTACCATGCCGGTATACCTACGACGTTTTAAACCGGGGGCATTGGGGGAACCGGAGAAATCGACGGTCGTCAGTACACTAGGTAGCTAGTACCAGCGGTCCTGAGCAGTGAGCGGTGTTTCAAGTTTGCCCCGAGCATTGGGCCCTGGCCCCCCGGTGGCGGCGTGATGCGACGCCGTCTTTGCAATGTATCCACCTGTACAGTATCCTGCAGGGCCGGTATCCTTCCATGCACGGTAGAGGACAACTTCCTTCCGAGTCGCCTCGTATTAGGTACCTGGTAGGTCGGAAATTCCGACCTACCGGTACCAAGTACGCTATACCTCATATCTTGAAGCTGTACCCCCCGGGGCTCTGCCAATCACAATACGATAACTGTTGAAACTTGAGGGGGGGGAACCTTGCATGGACCAAGGTTGGATGGTCGCCGGAGCGCGGGTGCCAGACCGCACGGCGGCCCCTGGGAGGCGGCGACGACCTCGACTTACAAGGATACACCGGCCCTTTTTACCCCGCACGCGGCAGGACCCAGTGCACAGTACGGCGCGTACGGCGCATTCTGTACGCGGCGGCTCGACCTGAATTGGCTTTGTGACTCTGACAGGGGTACTGTAGGACTCCGAAGCAGTCGGAAGTACCGTACGATATTAACCTAGGCCCTTCGGTAGTCTACAGTTGTCTAGCACTGGTACCGTAGGATGTACGATTTTTTGCAGGCCAGTTCCGAAGTTCTGCACGCGGTACACTGCGGCCTGCAGCTTGCTCCGGCTAGAGCAGGTACTGTAGGTACAGGGTTCGTATGGCTGAGCAGTGAGGTCAATGTCTTCTAAGTTTAACCTACCGGTAATTACTAAAGAGTGGGTACGGTACTTTGGTGCTTCTCCAGCATACAGGAAGTAGGAACACAACTTTGCCAGCAGACAGGATCCCTGTCACAGGTAGATTGCCGCGATTTGGGACTGCCTGTGGCACGCAGGCTATCATTTCCCGGCCGTTCATTAGCGTGGTCACCAAGCCATTCCGGATCGTCGATGACTCAAAACCCGGTAAAAGCGGAGCAGAACCTTGTCCAGTAAAAACGGGCTAAACTGTGCAGACTGGAGGCACTCAGTGAAATCCAGCCAATAGGAAATGAAGACCGAGTGCGACAAAACGCGGCGATCTACCTGTCATGTTCAAGATTTGAAGCCTCTACAATTGATCCTAAAAGCTTGCTCAATGCCAATTCATTCAGAGTCCAGACTACCTAGCTAGCTGGGAGCTGCTCTGCCGGATGATGCTCCTAGTGCCTGAACAAGCCAGTCGGTAAAAGTCGAAATAACGTCCTGCACCGTGCAAGTCGCTTGTATTTGTACCGTACAACTTAGATACTTATGTAGATCGCACTTGTACACAAAGTACTGCTCAGGGGCCAAGACTCAAGAGAACTTTTTGGAGGTACCTACGAGTAACGGGATCCTGATTCCTGACTTGTACGTCGGTAGCATGGATACGTCTGACAGGCCTACACTACCGGTAGTGCGCCTGCACTACCGGTAGTGCGCTCGATTCAAAACGTCAGAATATCCTGTTGGCGATTATCACTAGTGTATCTCAGGCTCAGGGCCTGGTCGCATGCCGCCAAAACCGACAGATTTCGATAGAATGTGTCGGTTTTGGAGCGACCGCATGACCGCATGCCACCAACACCAGCAGAAAGTACTATCGACGCGGGGGAAATGTTCACTCATTGACCGGAAAACCAACAGAATCTGACGGGCTAGCCTGACGTCCAGCCAGAATCTGTCGGTCCCAAAAGTCGCAAACCGAGCACTTTGTAGGGGAGACTCATCGACTGCTACTGCTCGGTAGGTCCTGAGATTTTTCCAGCTTTTTTTTGTTCGATTAAAATCTTTATTTCGATGCCGACCGTTCAGCTTCACCAACACTTATCGAACAGCGACGTCGAAAACTGTACTTTGCCGTACAGACCACCGGGCCACCTGGCCAAAGTCAACCCAACACATTCTGTCGAAATCTGTCGGTTTTGGCCCGCATGCGACCAGGCCCTCAGCCTCTCACAGTCATGTAGTCAGGGATAATCTGACCCCTGACGTCAGCTATGCAGCATGCACACTGCGATGACAATACGTAGATGAGATTCTGAATCTGTGACCGCATACGGGCCACATACTTTGACGAGAAAAATGGTCCAAGGAAGCAGAGGAAAGCAGTGCAAATCGGTTGCGCCCCAGTGCACCAGATACTCTCATCCTTCGACAACGAAAATGAAGCAAGGGCTCAGGTGGCAGTGTCTTTGCATTATGCACCAGATTACCGGTCCATATTCTCTCAAACGATACGAGCTCGGATCGATCCGGAATCGGTACTCGACTAGTGTGCTGCATCTACGATTCGAAGCCTGAGCTGCCGACCTGCAAAGCCCGAGTCTTGCACACACGGGGACCATCCTATGTAAAGACTAAAGCTATATATTCTTTAGGCAGGAGCAGCTTCTCTTTCATTCAATGATTCAACGCCCCCAGACTTTCCGAAACTTTTCTCCAAGGTTCTGAGACCAGAGGCGCTTCTACCTACGGGCGCTTCCACAATGTCGTCTCTTTCGAAGCATCCCCGGCTCTCCGTACCCGCCTCTATCCTGCTCGGATCGCTCCTCCTTTTCTTTGCGAGCTCTATTTCATATGTGGGGGCGCAAGAGGGTCCCACGTCTCCCCCGGGCCCCAGCTTTCCCCCGCTAGTTCCCTCGCCTACCCCCCTCGAGTGCCCGGATGGGGAGAGTTCCTACAGCTTCAACGGCACCATGTGCTGCGCCTATGACCGGACCTGCTTGATCGGGGACCCGTTGAACCCTTCCCTTGCGACCGGCGCACTCTGCTGCCCCCAAGGGGCACTCTGCGTCTTTGACTACACCTCCTTTGCGGCCTGCGTGACCCCCCCCGCTGCGCAGTGCGCGTCCTGCCTGCCTGCCAATCCGAATTCCTTCGATCGCTGCAGTCTACTGAAGTCGGGGGACTTCTGTTGCTCTCAGCAAACCTGTGGGGGGTCCATTGCGGACTCGAGGTCGGGCTTCTGCTGTGACAAGGGCTCCAAGACGCAATGCACCTTTCCCCTTTCAGTGATAGCCAGTCCCTCTGCGGTCACCCGGTGCTGTGAACCAGGGCAAGTGATATGCGAAGACCGGTGTTGCAGTCGAGCAAACTGCATCAGCCCAGGTCCTTTGGGGCCCTACACGTGCAACGAGCCAAGTGAGTGAATGGGCCACCTTGACCTGAGTGAAATTTAGCTCAAGACCTGTTAGCACTGCATCTTAGTATGGAGCACCATAGGCTACAGTCCTAGCCTTCGATGCAAGGCCAGTGGCGTTGAGCAGTAAGACTGCCTGTGAAGCGCTGAGGCCCATAGGCCTCATTTGAGAGAGTCGGTTGCTCTTGCTGCTTGGACCCACTAGTCCTGACTGGTCGCACACTTGCAATGCTTACCATTACTGTATCGTGTCTTGTTTGTGAGCTTTCGTGATTCTTTTCTGTGAGAGGACTGCGTCTGTATGTGGATACCAACATGTTGTGGGCCCTTTGGGGGACATCTTGCCCTCCGCTACTGAGCTTTGGATATATAAGATCAAGCCAGACTTTCATGTAGGGCTTAATTTGAGCTTGGGGATCCTTGAGCAACCTGCAAGGGTTTGAACATGCCTATTCCGATTGCTGGTTTGTCATCTCCGAGTCTTGTATGGTCATTATTCGAATGAAGTCAGAACCTTTGAAAACCCACTATATCAATGACGGATTTGGGCCATCTCTTCTTCAAAGGCTGATTTTCTTTCGTTGTACCCACTGCACTTCTCAAACCATAAAAGTAGCAACCTCTGAGGCCCTGCTGATAATTCTTCTTTGCAGTCCCCACAAATGCGCCCCCCCCCCCCAGTCCCAACGATTGCCGCCCCCCCTCCCGTCCAAACACCTGCGCCCCCCCCCTCCAATCCCCACCCCGACGGGTCCTTTCCCTACATTTGCGACAACGGAAGGAGGAGCGTAAGCTCACGTTCTCCTGGATCTCAGTACCAACAATGCAGGGTTAAGCATAGAAGATATTGGGTACTGAGGCTTACAGGGAGGAGTCCATGTGTTGAAGAATAGGAAAAAGTTGTTTTGTCCGTTAGGCGGATTCTTCACAGCTAACACAAAGAAGTGGGCTTCTTGAAAAGTTCTTACCCCAAGGTCGGGTCTGTACTCATGTGTAATCATGTGTAATCTAACCTACATGTGTAATCTAACCTCAACATAAACCTCTGTTCTGCTTCAAAAGATAGAGCTCCAAATATCTGAACACCCCAGCATTTGGTAAGAAAGTGGTCCACGTGGGCAGGTGACGTCACCCCCATAGATTGGTTAACCATGCCACAAGTCTATCTGGCACGTCGTTAGTGGGCCGAAAGATCTGACAGTCAATGCAAATTGTGTAGTGCTGCTGAGGGAGCAGAGTTGGTAGGGGTAACAGTACTCTAACTCTTTGCTGAAATTGCCGCGGATAGGAGACTTCTTCTACGTAGAAGAACTCTTCATTCTAGGAATAACTCAAATCTTTGTGAACCTGCTCAATATCCAGGTTTCGTAGAACGTGCATTGAAGCTCGCACTAAACCCTACACATCACTTTCTTCTTCTTTTCGTGGACAATATCGTGGAATAACAGTAAAAGGACTTCTTGAACCAAAGAGTCGAGTCTTCTTTTGTCTCGATCACTCACTCAAAACTCGGGGGAGCGTCCGAAATGAGCGTTCTCACCCACCTTTCAGCCGCAATCAGCTCTACTCGAGCTTCACGAGAATCCCGAATCGCCCGTCAACACCACCCATAGGAAATCGAGACCCGGAATTCAATACACTTTTCAGAATGGGCAGGGAGCTGGATTAAGTTTAGCAGTAGTCCGAATGAGGGAACTTTTCAGACTACACTGTTCTTATGATTTAAAGTACATTTCTAAAGCGCATATCACCTAACACAGGGGACTTTTCAGTCGGCAGCTTTCTTATATTCCTTTTAAGACTGTACTTTAATGGGCGGCTGATTTGTAGTGACCTTTTCAATGGCAGGTGCGACCCGTTCTCGGCGCTCCCCTTCACGTGCTACAACAACGCCGGTACGTCCTTCGCTTGCTGCCCGGACCCGAAATGCCCTTCCCCGGGCCCAGTGCCAAGATGCGCCGGAGAAACCGCGGCTCCGTCGACTCTAGCACCAACTCCAACGCCAACTGTAACTTCCCCCATTCCAACTGTAACTACCCCCATGCCAACTGTAACTACCCCCACGCCAACTGTAACTACCCCCACGCCAACTGTGACCACTACCCCAACGCCAACTGTGACCACTACCCCAACGCCAACTGTGACCTCTACCCCAATGCCGACTGCCACCACGGCAGCGCCAGCTGTCACGACCGCAGCACCGGCCCCGACTCCGACAGTTACTCATGCCACCGGCTCTTATGTGTGAGCCCCTTCCAGATATTTCTTAGTCAAGCGCCCCGCACTCCTCCGTCGTACCTCGTTTTGCCCTAAGTCTAGTCGCCGGCGCACTGCAAATCGTTTTCCGAGTCCGGACTGCGCTCGTGGTTCATGCCGGCCTAGAATGGGATTTAGACCCCGTCTGCAGACAAGGGCTCGTCGAAGAAATAAGGTCATGCTCACCGTTCGAGCTCTCTGGTCCCGCTCTGAAGTGCTTGAATTTCGGGCGACGTGTGCTTCTAAATGAATCGAAACGACGGGGCAACAACGGACGACGTCTTCAGGTTCAAATGACGTCTCGACTTGTTGGTCGATACGTCTGCTTGGTCTTCCTTTTACCGTGCGGTTTCTGCTTTCCTCAAGCGCGCGCGCCAAATAGAGCTGTATTCTCGCCATCTTCAGCTCGAGCAGTCTTGTCTAACTGCGGCTCAGCAACTCGCAGTGCCCGTTTATTCTGTCGGCCGTGACGTTGAGAGCCGTTACTTTCGCCTTTCCGCTTGCCCAGAGAGAGTGTACTGGTAGTTGCTGTCGTCGTGGTTCGCTTGCGACGATACGGTTTTTGGAACGGGCTACGAACATTTGCTTTCAGCACTGCTTATGGGCCTTTGTTTATTCATCTCTTCCGCTCTCGGTCTAGTGTCGGCTCATTGCTTTCCTCTCCATCTTCGCATGGTAATGTAAGCTGCCGCGCATCACTCTCTCATCTCGAGCACGTTTTCGAAGCTCGCCGGCCGAAATTTCCGGCCAATTCTTCACCGTTGACCGTTTAGTGGCGCCTCTCGAGTCTCGATTCTCGGGCACGCCGTGTACGCCTTGGGACATGACGTTCCGTTCCGTTTACGCCTTAGGACCTGACGTTCCGTTCGGTTTAAGCCTTAGGCCTTAAGCATGAGGACGTGGCATATTTTTCACGCAGGTGCGACCCATTCTCGACGCTCCCCTTCACGTGCTACAACAACGCCGGCTCGTCCTTCGCTTGCTGCGCGGATCCGCGCTGCCCAATCCCAGGCCCGACGGCTAGCTGTGCGGGGGATCCCCCCGCCCCTCAGCCAACCCCTACACCCACACCAGCTGTCACCACCGGAGCGCCAGCTGTCACCACTGCGGCGCCAGCTGTCACCACCGGAGCGCCAGCTGTCACCACCGCGGCGCCAAGCGCTACGACGCCTGCGCCGGTCGCCACTGTTCCGGCGCCGACGGCCACCTACGTCACCGGCTCTGGCTACGTGTGAGTGCCCCAATCTCCTTTCCTGATGAAATGTCGCCCTTTTTCTTGAGTCGTTACGTGCCCACCTTCTGAATAGGGTCTGTGTTGAAAATCCGTCTTTCGAGCTGATCAGGCCTCACCGTGTAATTCTCCATTTCGTGCTACACAATGCACTTTGCCGGGTGAAAGCAGAAGAGTAATCACACAGTGTGCCAAGATGTCGGTCCAAGAGTCAGCATACAATCTGCCGGATGTCAGAAGTTTGAAGTAATTGAGCTGACACCCAAAAGGGTCCCGGAACATCCGAAGTTCTTTTGTAACACAGACCGCGCCGCTCGCAGTTTGACCTTGCTTTTCTTTGGCCCAAGCCTAAATGTTTTTCGGAAGACCCGAAGTGCTTTCTTCCCTGCACATAATAATCTCTTGATTTTTAATCCTGGTCGCGAACTTCCATCTTGCATTCAACGTTGCAGGTGTGACCCGGCGTCGGCTCTTCCTTACACGTGCTACAACGCTTCTGGGTCGTCCTTTGTGTGTTGCGCCAAGTCGACTTGCCCCGCTCCTGGAGCCACGGCCGTATGCGCCCCATAAGCTATAAGCATCCCCCACAAGTCGAGCGGACGAAGGAAGTGGGGCAGTATCCTTTTCTGATTAGGAGCGTGTGCGGTTCTACCGTCAATGTGGGACCATTTGTTTTTCAACGTACCAGTGAGAATAAGCGTAGCAGTGTTAATCCACGGAGTACTCTGTACGCAGTCCCCCTATCATGACCCTTTTTTCGCCTAGATTCTGGTTGATTTTGTTAGTTTTATGCTTTACGCCCGAAGAAGAAGCGAATTACGGAAAGGAAGTTTCTTATCGGCGTCACGCCTAGGATTGCTTACTTGAGATAGATTGCTACTTCAATTGGAAACGGCGGCCATGATGAGGTAGCGTGCAGAGGTACGTAGTGTCATGCTGAACATGCTGCTTCGTTGTTACTGATTGCACTGTGGCAACTAGAATTGGATTTTTCTTAATGTTCAAGATTGTCTGTAAGTGCGCCATGGCCCAAGTGCCCAAGCGTGCCAGTTTAAGAAGAGTCACAATCTGTCCGAGTCTACGTAATTGCTTTGCGATTGGGCTGTCATGAGCAGCCGATTTGGTTCCCTTTTAACAATAGCATTACGCTTGCAGCCCAGTCCGCTAGGCAGCTTAAATCTGATGGAATACTAATGGGCATAGGTCTCACCATGCTGCAGTGGGCGATTCTCGTGCCAGCAGTGCTCCCGCAATCCTCTGCCTCACATCAATTTAGTGTCGCATCAGAGAATAGTCAATGGAACCGGCGCTGTGAGTTTGAGCGGAGCCGCGGACGGTTTGCATGGGCTCCATGCGCCTAAACCCTTTCTTTTACGAGGGTTTGATACATGTAGCTGCCGAATATATAATCGTACACAAATGCAACTAGCTATACCAACGTATGTCTTTCATGACGCCCCGGATATGACCATCGACCACGCCTACTGGAAATCGGCTGTACTCGGTTGGATCTGCCGACATTGCAGAACTCGGCCTGGAGCTTCGACCCCTAGGATGCTACTTCTTTTGGATCACGGCGCGAAGGAAAAAACCTGAGCTATATCTTGCATGATAAATTCGTAGATTCTTCCAGCGGATGAGTCGCCGAGGTTGCAAATCATTCAGTAGTTGTAAATGACATCGCGTTAGGGCTTTCAGGCGTGAGGCTAGGCAATCTGATCCAAGCATCCTGCAACTTCCGGCGATCCTAGTTCGAGACAATCAGCTGCGACTCACGAAACCCTAACCGGAAATGTAAGCGTTGTCACAGAGGTAGTAGCAAGTCTACATCTTGAAGTTCATAATACCAGGCAGTGACGTCCCTATCTCAGTAAGCCGGACCATCTGCTTTTGCGCTGATGTTGTTCAAATGCCACGCAAAAAACTACAATTCTTGCGAAAAGGACGGTGCTATGAAAGCGACGAAGTACGCTTGTACACCACAAACTCGTCGTGCTTGAACAGCCAGCAGGGCATTCCGCTCCGGTGCACCGCCGTCCACGTTTCGCGAAAGGATTCGTGATTCTGCATGTGATCTGTGGCGCCGTCCGGATCTTCTCCAATGAAAAAAATGGTCTCTCCCGTGTAACATTCGACGGAGTGCATCACTCCGGCGGGCCAGCTGAAGAGGAGCGCGCGGTCGCCGGCCTTGCCTGACTCGATGTAATTTGCAGCGTCCTCGCTTCGAACGTCGAAGTAAAAGGGCCGCTGCACAAGGGCGCGTGTTTTCGACGGCGTGTAGAGCCGGGATCTGCCGGTCTTTAGGTTTCAGACGAGCCCAGGCTGTCGCGTCTTCACTTCTTCTCTCTCTGCTGTGCTTTCGTTTCGGTCCACAGATCTGTGAGTTCCGCATACGACGATGCTGTACTTGCTCCCCCAATTAGATTTGCATCTCATTCATAGTACCAGAGATAGGAGATTGATGTTCAGATCCCCCGACGGACTTCGCAAGCCGACCGACAAACGATGCATTGTGGCAAGGCAGGAATGTAAAGGACGAAGCACAGCTGAATTTCTGACGCTTCCCGCATTATCTCCCTTTCGACCGACAGTTGCACATTACTGCCAGCACTACCTCCTCTTTCTCGATCGGCGAAAGTTCCAGCACCTTCGTACCATTTGGGAGCTTCCGTCGTGTTCCCCTCCGGCTTCACTCCCACCAGCATCAGCTCCGGCCGTTTCAGCTCCATCCCCACCGGGCGTTCCGTTCCGGCTGCCTGAGGATTCCGCTCCCGGCGGCGCCGGCTTTCCCCGTATCGCCTCTCCCCATCTCGCCATAAACTCCGGCCTATCTTGCCACCACGAAAAGTCATCAACCGCAACCACATCTGCCCCCAAACCGGCCAAGAGCGCGCTCCAGTAACCCGTTCCGGCTCCCACGTCCAGGATCCGCCCCTCCGGAGCGGACTCTATCATGTAGCGGAGAACGGAAAGCGTCGGGACGGACCAGCAGATGGTGTCGCGCACGCGCGCGTTGACGAGCAAGACGGCCGTGCTGTCGGGGAGTTCGGTGTACTCAAGACGGGAATACCCCGCAAAGAGAACGTACCTGCGAAATGCATGGGATCTGTTGCAGTGCTGCTCGCAAGACCGTACGAGGATACTGGAAAAACCAGCGGTCTATACATGGCTTGAGCCAAGAGGTCTCCATACGAAGGCACCAATCTGGTTAACTTTTTGGCTCGCTTTGGATCGTTTTTGATCCAAACTGCTGCAGCCTAGGGTAGAGATTAGGACTTAGATGTTCCTGCAATTTCCAAGGATGGTCTTCAACGAAAATAGCTTCAGGATACTAATGTCACCTTCTTGACCAGAGGATATGGAAGAATTCTTCCTGCTTCGTGTAAGTTTGCAAAGCCGCTGGCCTGAGCCTCAAGAGGCCTGAGTTCAGAATGAACGACCTCGACCTTCCGCCTCCCGATGGGAATAATCAAGAAATTGACTCTAGCGCCGGCGCTCTTATTTAACCATCCACCCTCAGAGAGTGCAGGAACCAAGGATTAAGTTCTGGGTTACATGTAACCCATGTGAGCAAAGTCATTTCGTTCTGCATGAAGGGCCCAAGGCCAGCATGCTTGCATAACCCGTGGCACATTCCAAGGACCCCCGATGTCAGCAACTCAAGCCTCTTGATATCATCTCTACTCGTTGCATTACTCTGCAGTCCAAAATTGAAAAGCTTTCAAACCGCAGGACTTCACTTTTCGTTGCGGCCCCATGCATTAGATAACCCATCATGAGGCATGTTTAGACTCTCCAGAATTGACAAAACTGTCTAGAATGGCTATCGAACTTTGAGTGTTAAAGGCATGCAGAACAGATTCCATGTCACCTCGCGAGAGGCAGCCAGAACTTCTCCAGCACCGGGTTGAAGCAGTCCGTCCCTGGGATCACCGGCGGCAGCGCCTCTTCCAGATCTTCCTCCACCCCTAGTTCTCGCAGATACGCCTCGTGCTCTGCTTTGACCTGGGGACTCTTCATCAAGTCTCGAACCCGCTGCTCCCAGCGCGGGCAGACGGTGCGCGCGCGAGCTGGTGCGCGCGCGCGCTGAGCCCTCATCCACTCATCGAAGTTTGAGACGAAGTCTGAAGGAGCCGAGACGTCCATTGGGATTTGGCAAGGGGGCCATGTTGCGCGTTGCTGCTGGGGCTCTGACTTGGAAGAGGACAGTTGTGCAAGGGATGGTTCTGCCTCCCGGCTTAATTGAGAGGCGCTCATTTCCGCTTTGTGGCTTCTCTGCGTAGAAAGAGAGGACCTGTTTGAGTCCTTTGTGAGCTGCTCTTAATCTCTATTTCAAATTAGTGGTCTTCCTGTGATTGGAGACCTTTGCTGGTCTATTGGCGGCGTTTCGAGACCACACAAATCTTTCAACTGGTCTTCTATCGAGCGGCTTGATCAGGCTCTGCGCCGCCCCGCCAGTTGCCGCCACCGGCAATCGCCTTTACCAAAATGCTTTGAGAGGTACTTGGTCCGACTCCTGCTTGTTATTTCTTTCCTCTTCAGCCTCTGGTTGTAAATGGAGGGAAGGTTTCCCTGCGATTGAGACCTGTGAATATGAAGAAAGTAAACCCTGCCACAATGGAGTTCGTGGTGATCGAATGCATGCATGGCCTCCCGGCTGCCTTGACCCCAAGTTGCATGTTATTCAGCCTCAGGAACAAGTCAGGAATCGGCTTCGATCTCCGCAATTCTTGAAAATATCAAGTTGACTCCAGATCTGCTCCTATCCACTCGGCTAGCGTCACCAATGAAGCAGCCAACAAGTGATTGAGACGAAGGGCCGTGACGATGCCTCGATATCTGGTGACGCGCGGGAGCTTATAAGCTTGGCGTGAACCCGTCGGGAAATCCTATCCGCACAAAACGCGTGGCGGCTCGCTGCAGTGCAAGTATGACCGGCCCGACTGCGGCCGTCCGTGGCACAGGCGCGGCCGCGCCAATCCGCGCATGCACGCAATCGTAGCTTCAAAGTGCTGATTGCATAATGGACAGTACGAATGCATGATTTTGGTGATCATGGCCCTTGGGCGGTCACTGCCAGGACCACTTCCGGGTTGACGCTGCTGTGTATGACGTGGGATGTCAAAAGAGGTTAAAGAAAGCAACAATGATAAGACTTAGGTACAAACGGCACAGCTTGTCAACGCGTGCGGAATTCTTCCGACTTTGAATATGCCCGTGTGTTACCATTCTATAATTGCTGGATGCTAGATTCTTCATGATATGAGAATGTTAATGGATCATATACAGAGGAGTACGACGGTCGGATCCAGAACTTATCATTTCGCGATACCGTCAAGTCGTTCGAGTGACGAGATGTGGGACGCGCCCCGTGCCGCAGGTACGTAAAGCTTTGGCCAATGCAGCTTGGTGGCGAAAGTCCGTACTGCAATACTATCAATGCGGCATTCGCTTCGGCGGAAATGGCATTCGACGCGTAGGCTCGGCCTCTGAAATGAAACGTACTGCTACTTCGTAGGCATGTCTTGTTATCCAAGCATCCAATCATGATACATACTCGAGGCCCTAACTCTCTCAGCTTGCAACGCTACAGCCTTGTCACATTGCATGCAACATGCCGCGCGCCTGCCACCCTTGCCATGTCGCGGAGGGGCCCGTTAGTGCCTACGGCATGTGCGGTATGCGGACGATGGGTGGTCCTGGTTCCGTCTGGCTTGATCAGTGTTCTGTTGTTGCGCGCAGGCTTCACGCAGCAAATCTGCAGTGACTTGGGTGAAGAAGATGACGTGCACCATAACGGAGGTATCATGTACAAGCAAGGCTGGCCCTACATTAGTATACCGTGGCACACACTAGGACACATTGAGTGCGAGCGCCTATCCTACACCTTTGGACTCCGCGGGTTCCGTTTCTCGTTTGTCTCTACAAACACGAAGTGCCTATCGAGCCCGGATGGCTGAAACGTGATCGCAGTCACAATTGTCTTCCCCTCTAGGTGCGGCAAGTCGTACTTTGAGTCCGGAATCTTTTGCTGGAACACAAACTCGTTCTCGTGTAGGTACTTTTTCAGAGCCACTGCAACTGCGTCCACCTCTTGCTTGAAGGCGGCTTTCCAGACGTCTTCCGAAGAGGACAAAGCTGCAAGAAAACAAAGCCGTGCCGTCAGACATCCTTCCGCTCTAGCTGACGATAGCCCTTCCAGTATCTTGCACTTTATATACGAAGCTTTCTTACCGGTCCGCGGGGTTAACTCACAGTTCTGGTCGAAGCACGACATACGGCACGCATTTGGCAAAGGCGAAAAAGCAGAGGTAGTCTCCCCGCTGTCAGAAGGTCCACGTCACCAGAAGATAGGGGGGGCCGACGATATCCAACTATAATCCTGCCCAGGACGTCACCGCTAAGAGAAAGTTTCGAGGTTTGACATGGCAGGGAGCATTGCATGCAACCCCCTGCAGACGCCTGATACACCCGGACGCGCGAGGACCCTCGCCGATCAACGAAAGCAGATCATTTTGGCTGACGCTTGCCTGTGCGCTACTGTGCGGAATTGATGACGTTTTGGCCGAAAGCGTAATTGAAATTTTGGTGATCTGCGATTGCTCGGTTAATGACAGCGGGTGGGCGCCCTCACAACGCAGCTTGCTGACGTGGGCAGCAATCAGTGCCTCTACTAAGGCTGATTCACGGAATTCACGGCGCCGCTGAGACGCCAGCCAAATCTTGAGGTCAAGCTTTCATTGATAACGCCTGCCCGTTCAACCAATTCAAGCTTCGTCTGAACAGCAAAACAAAGCCACACATCGTTTGAAGAAAAACCACAGAAGTCGAAAGTAGCAACCAGAAGATGGATATACCATCTTCTGTTCAAACGATGAATGGCGCACCCGTTCCGGGGGGCTTTGTCTGGAGCAGCTTCGCCTGTGCGACCCGCACGAGCGCCACGGCCATTCCAATCTTCTCCTGCTTCCGATAGTCCTCCGCCAAGATGCGGTAACACTGGGTTTCGTGCAGGGTTGCGTTTAACCCCAGCCATCGCTGCGGAAAGATGGAGAAAGGATTTGTAAATGGCTGCAGAGGTAATGAGAAAAGTGGTTGCACAATTGCAGCGGAGCGGAAAAGGCATTGGTTGGTCGCGGCGGAGACGAGAGAGACGATGGCAAACAAGGAGAAGAAAAGCGATGGCAAAATGGCACCCAAGAAGCCATAGAAGGAGAATCTGGTTCGGATGAGGGCACCTTCAACTTTGAGCAGAAAACTTTGTGCTAGCAGGAAAGCCGTTCGGACGGTAATTCTCAGGCGCTCTGACACGTCCGACAGACTGGCTGCTTTCGATTATCGATGGTGCGTTTGCTGGCAGGGCATTGCAGACGTCTCCCCTGAAGGTACACCCTTCCAACCACGCCACGCCCACAGCCCGTTACTGAACAAGCGACACAAAAGAGACGGCCCAAAAATCATCTCGCGCGCTTCATTTACGGCCCAAACGCTCTACTAGCGCCGGCAACTACGCGACAACCTGTCAGTCAAGTCGAGCAAGTCGCTGCGTGTTCTTGAAGAGGGCGTCGGGGGGACCGGTCCCCCCGAGGCGACCAGCAGAGTGCCCGTAAAGGCAAATTGGTCGCTTGGGACAATTCTTGCGATGGAATCTCGTCCGTCGAATGAAAATTACCCTCAGGACTCAGATGGCACGAGTGTTCCCTGAAATTTGACGCCCTCTTTAAACGCGCAGTTCGAGTTCTGCCTTTGGTTGATCGGCCATATCTTATCAGGGACGCCACAGGTCCTCATTTCAGACGGCTACATCGGACGCCTAAACACAAACGCGGAAGACGACGCGTAACGCTACCGGGAAATCAACGTCTGAAACGTACCCGGACTAGAGGCCTAAAGTTTGCCGGGAACTTGACTCGTAATACCTGAATCTACCCGAATCTTAACAAATAATATCTAGCCAGACATGACCTACCCGGATTTCATCGGACGTCCCCTTCCAGTCGCGTAGCTCCTTCCGTAGAGTCCCGCAACCAATCATTTACCTTGAAACTTCAAAGCCGATTAATTCTGAGAGGCTCGACGACCCAAATTGTTGTCGGACGCTTCCAGCTCCCGTTTCGGACGGCTATCGCCCACTCAGAACTTGTCTCGTTCCAGTCGCCCAAGTGCTCCCCTGAAAGTCTCGCGACCAAGTAGTCATCTTGAAGCGCCAAAAGCGTTCAGCACTGAAAGATCGGACGACCTACATCTACTTTCGGACGCTGCGAGCTCCCAATCCGGACGCCTAATGCTCACCCGGAATTTGTCGGACGTCTCGTTCCAGTCGCCCAAGTGCTCTCGTAATAGTCCCGCGGCCTGGCTCAGCAACTCCACGACACCGTAGTGCAGCTTCGCAAGCAGACCGCCGCTGGTCTGCTTCTCAGCCGCCTTCCGAGCAGTAACCGCCTGGTTAAGGGGACACAAACAGAGTTTGAAAGTCGTCGAGGCATAAGGATACTTGACACAGAGGGTTTGGTCGCGAGGATTGGAAATCAGCATACGATCACCATAGAAGCAGCGGAAGGATAGACATGACCAAATGCTGTGGTCGCAGTAGTGAAGCTTTGCAAGCAGACCGCCGCTTGTCTGCTTCTCGGCCGCTTTCCGGGCCGTAACCGCCTGGTTAGGAGCGGAACGAGGGGTTTAGAACTCCCTTGAAAGCTTGAAAGGAACCGGGTTAAGGACTATAAACTACCGACGTGGATACCGACTTAGGCTAACGCTGGCAGCTGCCAGTAGGCCCCCGTTCATCTCCAACTTTGCATCTTTATGAGCCTGTGTCAAGGCTTGGAAAATGTGGGTTAAGACTGCTGATTAATAAGCTAGGAGGAGAGGGATCATCTCCAAAGGCTGAGCTCAACAGTTGCGGTCGATGCTGGCGCAGCTTCGCAAGCAGACTGCCGCTGGTCTGCTTCTCAGCAGCTTTCCGAGCCGTAACTGCCTGGCTAAAAAGAAATAAAAAAACGTTAAGAAACATTCAAGGCTTGCTTGACATCGAGAGGGGATTTTCAAGTGAATCAAAAGCAACGTGAAATTAAAGGAGGGGGATTTCCACGTGATCAAAAGGCAACGTAAAAGTAGGAGGCAGTAGGAGGACAGACACAATCGCCATAACCGACAGATACGAAGTGGTGAAGTTCTGCAAAGCAGACCTCTGCCGCTCCGCTTCTCGGCCATTTTCTCAACCGTGACCGCCTGGTTAGAGAGTGAAAAGCGAGGGTTATGGACCTCCGAAAAGGACGGTTAGAGCCATGATTATGAACCTCTGCTTCTGCCAAACACAGGATCTTTCAGTGCCTGGCCATGCAAGTTTTGAACATCTTAAATTCACGCTTCACAGAAGAGCTATGAACGTGCTCGCACTTGTGCTTCTCCCAAGCACATAAATTTCCAGATCAGAATTGGTGATACCCGGGTTCAAACACCTCGACCGAATGCTTTAAGCAAGAAATAAAAGGAGAGATCCCACACCTGTGCTTCTGCCAAGCACAGGATCCTCCAGATTTTGGCCATGGAAGTGGTGACCTCCGGGGGGCGTTCGGGGGGCAGCCGCGGCTGAAGGGGGGGGAGGATCTGCTCCTCAAGGTGCTGGAACACGCCGGCGGCCTTGCGGAGGATGTTGGAAGCTTCCACGAGATCGCCTGTCGATAGACGGAGCCAAATTGTGCTTCAGTTGTAGATTTGCGTCAAACACTGGTCAAAAGTTTGCGGGAGATTGCCATACACTTTGGTCACCACAAGCCGCTTTTAAAGGTGCTGCCAAAGCTGCCAGACTCGAACCCCGATTCGGGAGCTACCGGGCAAAACCAGGGCTTTTGGCTGATCGTTGGATTCAAACGCTTTAGAGATTGGTGGAGCGGTATGTACCACTTCATCACTGATCTGGCTTGCATAGACCGAAGCTTAGCGCTTCGTCGAAGCGCTGAAGATGTCCCTGACGGGATAATCCAAGCAGACACAGCCGTACCCTCTAGACATTCTACGACGCAGACGCCATAGCGGAACACACGGAAACCCGTAGAAACAAGCAATTCATCGTATGGAAAGTCGTAAACCCCGAAACCTCGCACCTTTGTCCATCATCTCGAACGCCCGTTCCCGCAGCAGCCCCGCGTACAGCCACATGGTCATGACGTGCTCGTAAACCAGGTCGTTAACCCGGAAAAGTTTCCCCTTGGTGAAACCCCCCGAGAGGGGGCTGGTCCACCGTAGCCGCAGCTCCTCCGTCCATTTGATGACCAACGGGTTATCTATTTCGGGGATAACCCGGGTTACCAGGTTTTCGAGCAGCTAGAGAGGGAGGAAGAAGAGAGTTTTGTTGTAAGTGCGCTTAGTGACGTGGAAGTTTTCTCGCTCTATCTACACCTTGGTAAAGGGTTGCCGTTGGGTTGAAATGATTTCTGTGCTTTCACGGAGTCAAAGAACCAAAGCACCAAATCCTCGTTTTCCTCGAACCACTTGAGCGCTGAGACTTGGGCAGAGTGAAAAGCACGGACAGAACATTGCTGACAGAAAATCGAAGCATTGCTTTTAATGTCGTCTAGGAAAGGATGCGACTGCAACTGAGACTTTGAAAATCTGCTTGTAGTAGATGACATGTCGGTCTATCGCCCAAGATAGCAGATCCCTTCATGTCTCTTGAAAAAGCACCTGAATCTTTACAGCAGGTGCTTTTCAGAATCTCACAGACCTCGCGTTTGCCGATCCGTCCCGAATGCAATATCCTTCCTCTTTTCAGAACAATATTCACACAGAGATTTTTCAAAAGACACGGCCTGAATTCGAACAATCTCCCGCTAAAAGCAACAAATGCAGAGTGTGCCTGAATGGAGCCCAGGGCCTGGTTGCAAGATTCATCATCCTTCCCAATCCGCTTAAGCTTTAAAAGCAGAATCGAACCAAGCTAAGCTTACCGGCAGATACTTTTCCACCTTCCCGATCTCCTGCGCTACTGGTGACGTCTCTCCCCCCGCAATCTCCCTCGCAATGGCAAAAGCCATGTTTGACCCGTTCCGTGGCTCCTCCCATGCCTTTCGCCGCGACGACAACTCCCGCAACTGCTCCAGAGTCCCCGAGTCCTGAGCGTAGTACGTCTGCTCAAAGACCACCGGCTTGGTAGTCATCCGGGCCGAAAGTTCGTGGTATTGGAGATACATATCTTTGAAACTATAGGGGTATTACAATTTCTGGAGGGATGACTGGGTTTTGGGGTGGCGACAATTTGGAATCCTTCGGGGGTTGATTGGGTTTGGGTGTGTGGCAAGAGTTGAGGGTTTTTGTTCGATCTAGAGGTTTATGTGTCCAAGCCACTGAGAGCTTCTGGAAGTTGACAGGCGGTGGGCTTAGATGAATTCTGGGGGATTGGCCAACCGAAGCTTCGGGGTATGCTGCTTTTGGGGGTGTCAGGGACTGTGGGGCCACAAGGTCCCAAGTATCAAGGTTCTCAAGGTCCACGCAATTGAGGATCGCTCGGGGGTTTCTAAGTGGTGGGGCTTTGGGGGCTTTTGCGGGTGGGGCTAGCCTTAGAAGGTTTCAGGAAACGTGGGGTTCTCGATGGTAATCAGAATGCAGCAGATTCAAGCAATTCTCTTTCTGAGGATTCCAGAGGTTTGGGGCCCTGTGGCGTGCTGTCGAGATGTCTCCAATTTGGTGCTTTGTATGGGGTATCGAATGGTTGGGGGTTCTTGAAGCTTCCAGTTTTAGGAATCCGGAAGATGGAAGATGTGGAGAGTTGCCCCTTTTTGGAGCTTCTGAAGGGACGTGATCAGCTGGGAGCTACTATTTCAGACCCACAGGCAAGCTAATCGAACTAATCAGAGTTTCACCCCTTAGCGCCGTTCTGCTCTTCCAACTTCTACTTTCATTTCTCCTTTGTTGTACTTTGGCAGCCAAGATCGTTAGCCGGACAGCCGATGAGGACTGTCTAGTTCATGGTGTCGTCTTTGGACCCTGATTCTTCTGCCGCTTTTCTCTGAGCCTCTTTCCTAGCGTCCATCGCTGCTATGTCGCGGTACAGAATCTCCCGCTGCCTGACCTGCAGAGGAGAAGAGCTGTTCTTGAGATAAGTCGCGAACCATTTTCGTTAGAAGTAATTCAGTGACAATTGCAAAGAGGAAGCAGATCACTTGGGTATTCTAACCAACCCATCAAAAAACCCGTCAAGGCGTCTGGACTTCCATTTGGTACAGAATGACACGCAATGCTTATCCTTGGAATTGGACCTTCGTGGGTCCAACCTGTGCGTTGCCAAGATCACATTCGATTAATACAAGCATATAAGAGATTCACAAAAATCAGAAGAGGTCGCTCCCTAGGAACAGCAAACAAAATCACACAGACGAAATGAACAAAGTTGACAGAGGAGGCCTTGTTCCAGGATGTGGAGATGTACATAAGTATGCTGAGATGTAAGATGCATCAGCTAATGGGCGGCCAGCATAAGATTCCCAGCTGGAAAAGCAGATTGGAAGTCTCTTTCGCTCTCAATCATAACATCTCAGCTCAGAGCTCGAAAGCACGAACAATCATGCACAATAGCCAATCAAATTCCAAACAAAGAGTATACTATGTTTGGCCCGAGCTAATCAAGGGCAACAACTTAAGCGCACGTTCTCTTGAAACTTTTTAACTTCAACAGATGGTGACAAATTGCACCAAAACGCACCCTGTACCACTGCTCCACATGATACGTGATCCAGAAGCCCACGCCTCCGCCAACGAGTGCGCCGATTGTGATGGCTACATTGTTGGATACCGATGGCCCAGTCATTTCCTCAGGGAGATGATCAGCTTAGATGAAGCACTAGCCAAGGCTTCCATGTCATAAGAACAGCTCAAACGAATGCTAGGAAATCTTACTATCAGCATTCATGAGGAATAGATTCAAGCAGTCCCCCAAAATGCGCCTAGCTCTGTGCAGCACGTCTAATGAATGGACTGTTTAACATATTATATTATGATTAAGGTGGAAGTATGGCAATCAACCGCCTGCAGAGCCTTGGGTCACGTTTTGGGTCACGAAATGGTCCAAACTCATCCAAATCGAGTCGAGTTTTTTGCATTGAG